TATGCGAAGGCTATCGATCTCACTCACGAGAATGACCGGAGATCTTCGATGCGATTCGTTTGGCGCGGTGAGTATCTTTGCGTATCTTTATAGTTGGTATTATACGGATCTATACAGGTCCTTGAGAATGTGGTTTTTGATGCTAGTACTAGAGTCGTGGATTACCATGATACCAGTGTGACGGAGAATACTCGATGTGCCTACCCCCTCAGCCACATACCTAACTCTATTATCCCCGCAGTGGTGAGGTTCCTAATGATCGCTCAGTGATGTCGGCATGGCTACGGTCAGGTTGATAATCATCCATCCAACGTGGTCCTGCTCTGTTGTGATGCATTCGGTGTTCTACCCCCTGTCTCGGTCCTCGATCCCGACCAAGTCCAGTATTACTTCATATCGGGCTACACGGCTAAAGTGGCGGGTGAGGAAGATCTCGGCGGCGATCTTATGACGAGTTGTGATCGCTAGGTACGGAACAGGGCATCACTGAACCTACAGCGACGTTCTCCGCTTGTTTCGGAGCGCCCTTCTTGGTCTGGCATCCGGTTGTTTATGCGGAAATGCTCTCGCATAAGATCCAAAAGCACAAGTGTAAGCTCGTCCGAATTCAAATTTCGAGTGTTTGCTACCGTGTCATCTTGATTGCTCATCAGGCACTGCATATCTCCTCAACACAGGCTGGATTGGGGGTGGTTACGGCGAAGGGAAAAGATGCAGTCTGAAGTACCTCCTGCACTGGTCGTCGCTATATTGGCCGGCAATCCACAGCTCAGATACACACGTAAGATGATTGACGCTATGCACGATGGAACCATCAAGGCCATGCTCGAGGACGGCGAAGACAATTTTGATACCCTCCCGTTATTCAATCTGAAGGTATTTGTCATCCCGCGATTATATGATTGTATTTCTCCTCGTATTGATAAGGTGCCGAGGTCACTGCCTGGGGTTCCGGATCATATACTATACCCAAAGGATGGTTGGGAAGATAAGGAGAAGTAAGGCTCGTGGAGGCTGGGCGTATGTGGTTGGAGTTGTGCATAGGTTTGATGCCACTCTGATGAAGTTAGCGAAGTTGTTCGAACAGAATTTCCAGGAGTACGCAGACAGATGTCCACAGTCTGTGAGAGAAGCAGGTCCCCAAGTCGAATAGGCGGGAGCTCTCATGGCTGGTATGACTTTTTTATATAAGACGTTTTATGGGGCTCATCGCTCCTGAGAATATTGTAGTTCCACCGAGGATTTCCATGTGGAGACCGAGGTGCGAACAGGTCGTTGAGACAGTCGTATTTATTTGAGACTATCGTTAACGGTTGGTTTCTCAGCTGGCCAAATGCAGTTTTGAATAGTTGTCAATTAGCAGTTGTGTAGTTGAAGTCAAGATAGTGATGTCCGTGAATCCGGTGATGGGAAGTGAAACGGTTGCGGTCTATGGTCGAGGTCTCGTGGAGGAAGAAAGCGACAAATGTGGAGAACATGGCGAACTTGAGGCTGGAGGCATCTGCGAATGTGATCCCAATTGGTACCATATTCAGATTGATGATGGTTCGGTTATGTAAGGAGTATCAGAGCCGTTCCGAAGCGTCCAGGTAGTTGTGTCGCTTTGCAGGTGGTGTTCGTATAACAACAGGGAGACGCCCGATATTCCGGGATACTACTGGAAGGAGAACGGCCTCAGTCCTGGGGAGTTCGAGGTGAGTTCCTGGTGGCGTGGTATTCGCTGAGATGATTTTATCCAGTTGTTCCCCACTAGAGACCATCTGGATGTACTCGATATGCGGTTTTGGATTTTCGGTCTGCTTATCTTCGAGTGTTGGTTGCTGTGCTGGTGAGTTTTAGTTCAGCTTGTCTCTCCCATACGCACGGCTCTTGTCAGTTGTCGTTTCATCCGGGACCGTTTCTGTGGCCCGAGTGTCGAGGAGGTCATTGCTCGCCTTCCGCCGGGTTGTGAGATTGCCTTGCAACGGTTCAATTGGAATATCACCCTCCATTTCTCAGACTACCGCCCGGATAAGCAGTAGACAGTCCTGGAATTGGCCGTGTGGAACTTTCGATGGTATGTGGAGTATCATTTTCTTGGGTGAATTCCCTCACTTTATTTGATGACGATCGAGGGGTGTTGACAGTAGGAAGTTTTGCCATTTACTTTTCAGGTTAAGTTGTCGACTTGCATGCTTTAAAATGCAGCTTTGTGATGTGACGATAGAAGTATAAAGTATCATGGTTACCCGTATGGCGCTGAGTTGGGAGGAGATTGTTCATTGCGATTGTTCCTAGTAGATTACTTTCAGTGGCCGTCGGTCGAGTATGAGTTCAGCTGAGGATGCTACTCCCACTCCTAAGCTTAGTGATGAGGACTATGAGAAGATTCAGACGGCGATGGATGAGGGCCGATACCCATGCAATAATGGCAATTTCAATCTCACTACTGGGAGGTGTGTATGCGACAAGAACTATGTTCATCTCGTCTACGAAGACAGAATAGAGTGAGGGGGAATTCCGTGTCGCTGTGTATGGCATCGTCAGGATTTGTAATTACGAGGAGAGAGTCATCGGAGCGCCTTCTGCTCCAGGCTTCCACCTGGTGGATGAAACTCTCAGGCGAGGAGACCTCATCGTAAGTACAGTGAGTGTGAGTCTAGGTTGACTTATCGGATGTGTGTCAGACTGAAGAGAAAGATCTGAAGGGTAGTTATAACCCGTTCTTGTGGATCCTCATTATAGTCGGCGTGGAGCTCGCAACGTTCCTGGTGTAGGGAAAGAGGCGCCTCTTTTTTTGGTTTGTGATACGCGAAGTTACTTGAAGTGTGTCAGGTTGAAAATGGTACGCAAGCGTTGTGTCAACTTCGTGTCATCGAAGAAATGAAGAGCCACCTCACATACGCTGAGCTATTGGGATCGAAGTTTATTCTTTTCAGTGAAGCGAAACTAGAATGTTACTGCATGATTTTTGTGAGGGGCATGTGAAAAGTAAAGTTTTCCAGATTGGCTATCCTTGTGATGGTATTGATAGCCTACGAGTTTACTCTCAAAGTTACATTTGTATTTGCCATGGCATACCCCGATTCTGGTGTACTGCATAGGGAGAAGTTCTATTGGGTCAAAATTGTAATACTCTGTCATTTACCTCCGCATACATTTGCTTGCTGCTTTCAGGAAGACCACGATGCATCGGCTGTACTCTTCCGCTCTCAATGGGGGTTCGTGGGATTCTTCCTTTTCGTGCAAGCCTGGTGCTTTTTGTCGTGAGTGTCTCCTGTGTGTTGCTGTTCTTTGTGATCGGAGTCTCTCACCCATCAGGTTTAAAGTTCTGCGGTTCGTATTTCGCCCGGATAAAATGAAGGATCTGCCGCCTAGAAGACCTCTCAAGATCAAGAGTGAGCATTCCTGTTGTCGCTATTGTCCTGCATGTCTAAGTCGGGTTCATCTCAGTACCCAAGCTACCCAAGCTGGCATCGTCGAATAAGGATCGTGGCTTAGAAGGCTATGGTCCGAACCCCTACACGCCTGGTATGGCATACCCCGGTCCTTCGCCCTATATGTTTGGAGCACCAATGCATCCGATGGCGCAGACCTATGCAGGGCCGGCGCCGCAGACACCCTCGCATTCGTTCGTTGGCTCGTCACCCTTCTACCCTACTTATGCTCATACTGCCGGCCCTTCGTACCCTATGGCCCAGTCACAGCCCCAACTATCAGCCCCCGTTCCCCCTATGTACCAGAGCCCCTATGGCCAGGGATCGCCTTATCCAATGGAAATGTCACCACAACCGCAACACTACAATACAGCCCAACAACTGCCGAGTTATGGTGGGCAGCAGTCTATGGCCGCTACGCAGTCCAACTTGTCTCCGGGGTATGTAAACCCTCCTGTGGGGACGTATACTCAACCTCCCGGGTACGGCTCGCCTGGGATGTGGGGAAGTGGGACTCCCCATACAATGAGGTGTATACCAACCCAAGAGTAA